TAAACCTAATAAATATGATAGTAAAAATAAAGAACATATCTGTCGATATAGTTCCGGAAAATTTAAATAAAAAGATACAACTATGACTAGTTTAGATTTTGAAATATTAAGAGTAGTATATGCAATAAATAAATTCTGATTATTTTTACACAAACCTTTCACAATTAGAACTGATTGCGAAGCTATAGTCCAATTTCACAATTAAGTTAATGAGCGTAAACTTAGTAGTAGGAGATGGGAATTGTATGGTAGGACAAGGATATAAAGTAGAACTTGAACAAATTAAAGGGAGTGATAATAAGTTAACATATTGGCTAAGTAGGAAAATCTATTTAGAAAAAGAAAATAATCAATTTAATTTTTGTGCAGATAATGGAGAACAACAAAACAATGAGCTTTGGAGGATTTGCTCTACCCATCTATGAGGGCAGAGCCATGTTCAAACCATTAACAGGAATCCAGCTAGACCCTATTCAACAATGTCTTTTAGATAACCTTTGGATTAACCTTAACCACCAGCTAAACGTTTGTAAGTTCTAAACTCTCTCAGTATATACTTTTCAAAAATCCAAAATAAACCTTTATCTAAAAGTTTTTCCTTCTATGTCATAGCTAAAGGAGCCAAACCTGGCATGTACCATGACTGGATAAAAGTTGAACCTTTAGGCAAAAATTTTCCCTCACTCCAGTTTAAAGGATTTTATGATTTTGAGTCAGCCAGTACATATGCCCTCAGACAAACAGGAACCAGTTACGTTATTAGCCAGGCAGCTAAAGATTATCTGGACACATTGGGCATGATGCAGTCACCTATTCTTGCTACAAGTGAAGTTCCAGTCAGTTAGATAACAGGAAATTGTAGTACTAACCCTCAACCTAATACAAAATCACAAAATTCTTTTCAATTGTGCAAACATTGCGAAGGCCTTACCAAAAATTTCAAGAAAATCATGGATAAAGGCAAAAGAGTCAGTGAAGAGCTAGACCAACTCTGAAAAGAAGAAAAACAATTGAAAGCGACCATTCGAACCCTAAAGAAATCCAAGAAATCAGGTAACTCACCAATAAAGAATTTGATCAATTGAGTGCTAGAATGTATTTTTTCAGGCATTCTATCATTCAATCTTTTTGTGAGAAAAGCCACGAAGTCGAAGATATTAAACCTTATATATACACCCTAGTTGAGGATAGTGGAAATAATGAGCTAATTACTGTACAATACTTTCTCTAGGACCTTTCTATAACAGGAGGTCAGTGCCCTCGTATAGCATATCAATGGACTTATCTCTACAATGATGAAGAACAACCATGAATACAAGAAAGACTATATAGAGAAAGGCTATAATGTTTTGGAAGATGTCATTTGTAATCTCGCCTTTAGCTTCTATCTTTGCTAGATAAATCTAGCAACTTTTGAGCCACTAAAGATAGCAATTAAAGGCAAAACTCGTTGTCTAACAGCAGCACAGTTGTTAGATTACAGTTTTGTCTCTAGAATAATTTTTTCATTAGACAGATAATTTTGGAAATAAACTTGCTCATTCAATACTTTGTATAATGGAAGAGCATCATCCATTTGTTGAAGTATTAATTGGTAGCAAGCTACTAGAATGGAAAGGAATAATGTGTATTCTCGCCAAGCATAAAATGTACCTCAGAGGAACCTCAACATTTCCAGGATACCCAGGAATTTTTAACCAAAAGCCTTGACCATGCAAAAACTTTTCACTAAAAGATCAGCTTAATAAATGGAGAAAATTTGCTAATAATCCTTTATTAGCTTATAATGGAAACTACGGTCATCTCGTCTGTGAGGATAAAAATCACAAAAGATAAAATTATGTAAAATTTATAAAAATTAATAAAAACTACATGATTAATTCTTAAAAATTAATTTTACATGATCATCATCCAAATACATAATAAAAATTAATTTGGTAAAAAAAATAATAAATGTCTAAAAGATTTATCAATTTTATAAAATTTTATCTTTAGTAGGTAGACATAATTTTAAAAAATTCAAAAATAATTTTTTGACATTTATTTTTGTCAAATTAATTTATATTTTAGCAAATTGACGAATTTGTCCTTGAAAAATCCAATAGTATCTTCAATTGTCCCTATTTGAAACAAGATTCAAAATTCAGGGTCAAATGTGTCATAATTGAAAAGTCAGGAACCAAAGTGACACAAACTCCAAACTATAGGGACCGTTGGTGTAATTCACCCTTGATTAAATTAAGCATAATAATTAGCCTTAAGCAAATTTGATTAGCCAAGCATATATAAGAGCCTATTTACACTCATGCTCATTCTTTTTAAGCTCATTTACATAACTTGGCTGAAAATATACTCTAGAGAGACAGACGATTGTAGAGAGAGGGAGAGAGTGCAATTGGAGATTTGAGCTCACAACTTGAAGACTTGAAGAATTAGGCTCAAAGACTAGCCCAATTAAGGAGATTGAAGCTTCTAGATGAGCAATTAAACTCTAGAGTATGAGTTAAGTTCATAAAATGAGAATTCAAAGTATATATGAAGTTAAATACTGAATTAAGCTTAATTGGATGAATTAGAGATCATTAGATGCATGCATATAAGAATTGGCCATAATCTTTCATCTTTAGATGCATGCATGTTGATCATGTTGTCTTGAGGGTTGTTTGACACATGCATGTAAGAATTTCCATACATTGAAGCTTAATTTCAAGCCTTGAAGCTTGTTTATGCAAGATACAAAACATAGAATGTGTATACATAAAGTTTATGGTTTGAAATTTGTTAAATTCATGGGATTTTGAACTATGGTTATGAGTTATCTTAAAAAATATGTTTTTGGGAGTGTGCTTGCATATTTGAGTGTATTATACATAAATTGGACCATTGGAATTGTGTTTTGGACTATAAACAGAATTCTGGAAATTTCAGAATTCGACATGTCCGCTCGAGCGGAGAAAGTCTCGCTTGAGCGTGAAAATTAAGCTCCTAGAAGTTTTGTAGAGATTTGCACGGTGGCTCGAGCGGCAAATGTTGCGCTCGAGTGAACCTTGTTTTGCAAGACTCCTCGCTCGAGCGTCAGAAGTCTCCATTGAGCATAAAATTCATGCAACCAATACTTTTACAAAGTTTTACAGGTCACTCAAGCAACCAAAGCTACGTTCGAGCGGAGAGCCCCGTTTCAGAAGTTTTGAAAAGTTGTTTTATGTTTCATTTTCCGTCTCTTTCTTTTCTAAGCACTTTTAGGCATGCATTGAACATTGTAAATGAACTAAAGGGATAAGAAAAAGGCCTAAGAGAAATAAATAAGTTAAGAACGGATTGAATTGTTTGTGACCCAATGTGTTATGAAATGTGTAGGGTCAAGCACGAGGGCAAATCCATCGACGAAACACTATGAGTAATATTTTAGTAAAGTTACTTTCAAGTATGCTATTTTTCAAATGCTACTTCTGTATAAGCTTCATGGATTTGTTTATTTGAATTATGAATGAGTATCCTATATGCCTAATTTTTGTATTAAGCTTTGTGAAGGATATGATTTAGGCCCAAGGCCGCTTGGTATATCTATGAATTGGGTTTGAGGTCGTTTGTTATATATGTTTGATAAGGACATGAATGGGTCTAAGGCTATTTGAATACAAATGCATTGGGCCCAAGGTCGTTTGAGTATGAATATGATTATGATCACAAGTATGAAATGCACATAAATATGAATGTGAAAATAATGGGCTAGAGGTCATTTGATACGATGATTGGGCCTGATACCGTTTGACATGAATGAATTGGGCCCAAGGCCATTTGAAATGAATGAATTGGACCCGAGGCCATTTGATAAGAATGAATTGGGCCTGAGGCTGTTTGATAAGAATGAATTGGGCCCGAGGCCATTTGATAAGAATGAATTGGGCTTGAGGCCATTTGACATGTTGGGCCAGAGGCCATTTGATATGTTTGGGCCTGTGGCCGTTTGATATATTTGATAGAAATATGAATGGGCCTAAGGCCATTTGATGTGTTTGACAAAGAGATGTTCAAACCCAGCCTCAGTAAAGGATGTGAGAGAAATCCAAGTTTGGTATTATTTGTTGGGCTTTCGCCCACTCTTATTTATATGTATGTAGGTGAGCAAAGAGATGTTCAAACCCAGCCTTAGTTAAGGATGTGAGAGAAATCCAAGTTTTTATGAAGTCAGCCTGAACGTCTCACGCACGAGACTTTGTTTTTTTGTTTTACCCCTTTTGCTATCTTGGTGATTTCGTTGAATCATCTATGTCTATAAACTTTTTGTTTGGCTGACTGCATGTCTGAAAGTTCCTGGATGTACAAAATGTTAACTCTGTCTATATGTGTGAATTATTATGGATGCTTATGAATTGATTTTGCCATGCCATGTAAGCACAGCTCTTTGGACAAAATTTTTTAAGTCTGCTTCCGTTTTGGCCCCTTTATTTCTATAGAGATATCATTTAATTTCGTTTGAGGGCATAGGTAATCTTATGATTACTGGCTAGTTATGACCTTAATCTATAGGGACGGGTTCGGATCATGACAGAATAGTATCAGAGTACAAGTTAATAACTCACACACTTGTCCAAATGAGCAGTAAGCATCTAGACGAAATCGAGGATGCGTTCATGTGATAAGTATGAACTTGAAGGCATTGAGCATATGTTTAAATGTTTTGAAATGAATGACTGTGTGCTATATGCATTGTGGTGTATTTGAATATTTATGCTCTTTTGTATATGTATACTTGTGGACATTTTTTGTATATAGAGTAATGTAAGTTTAATTAGATAATGGTGAGAATAAGAGTAGATGAATTAGAGGAGTCCTCTACTTCCAGAATGGATAAGATGGAAAGATTAATACAGGAAATAGCAGAGACGTTGAGACAACAGCAACAGTGGCAACAGCCGTACCCTCCACCTCTGGTACTACTTGTACAAGACTTGCAAAATGATAACTGAACAATAGCCCTCACCAAAGAGTTTAAGAAAATGAAACCACCATTGTTTCACGGAGGATTGGATCCACTGAAGACTGAAGCATGGCTCCTTGGAATAGAGAAATTGTTTGAGGTGTTTCCATGTCTAGAAACAGAGAAAGTATTGCTAGCCACCTTTACACTGGAAGATAAAGCGAGAATGTGGTGGATGTTGATGTGTGAGAATCATAAAGATATTGGTTGGGCATGGTTTTTGGAAATTTTCTACGACAAATACTTCCCACAATGTGTCCGTGACAGAAAAGTGTTGGAGTTCATGGAACTTAAGCAAAATAGCATGACAATAATAGAGTACAAGGCAAAGTTTACTGAGTTGGCTAGATTTGCACCACACATGGTTGATACCGACTATAAGAAAGCGAGAAAATTTGAAGGTGGTCTTCGCGATGATATTTTGGAGAAGGTAAATGTACTAAAGCTCGAAACCTATGTTGATGTACTAGATCAGGCCATAATATTAGAAGCTAACATAGCCAGGCAGAGTAAACCATCAACTGATTGGAAAAGAACAAGGCAGGGCTTCTTTCCAAAGAAAAGACTTGCAAAGAAACAGAATATGGGCTCCCCAAGCACTTCAAATTGTTCCAGAGATACGTCTCCAATGTGTAGCCAATGTGGTAAAAGGCATCACGGGGTTTGCTATCGTGTTTCAAGGGTCTGCTTTAAATGTGGTAAAACAGGACATACGGCCAGGGATTGTAATCAAAACAATGGGAAATTAGCTACTAGCTTAACTGGATCGATCCTGAAACTGGGAAACATTTTGGGGCCTACTACTACTAGAGACACCATGAGGTAGGGGAGAGTCTTTGCGCTCGTTCCGGGCGATCCACGGAACGCAGAAGCCATCGTCTCAGGTACTACCTCTATATGTAATCACGATGCTTTTATGTTAATTGACTTCGGATCAACACACTCTTTTGTAACTCATGCATTTTTCTCTAGATTGAATAGACCTCTAGAATCATTGCCATATTTGTTATATGTATCTGCTCTATCTGGGGAATCTGTGTTATGTACATGTGTGTGTCGATTTTGTGATATACGTATTGGGAATGCTACTTTGTATGTAGATTTGTTACCCTTGGACTTTAGACATTTTGATGTAATTCTGGGTATGGACTAGTTATCTAAATACTGTGCCACCATTGATTGTGTAACGAAACAAGTTGTATTTAGACCGCCACGACAGAAAGAAATTGTGTTTGTGGGTAATGGGGTAGTGCTTCTACCTTATTTGATATCTGCAATAAAAGCATGTAAATTGATCAGGAGAGGGTGTCAGGTTTACTTGTGTAGTGTATTGTTTGAACAATCTATGAATGTTGAATTGAACCGTATCCCTATTGTTAGAAGGTTCCCAGATATATTCCTAGATGAATTACCAGGAGAATTGGTTGACAAGGGGATAGAGTTTACTATTGATGTTATGCCAGGCACTCAGCCTATCTCAAAAACCCCCTACAAAATATCTGCTGCTGAAATGAAAGAACTGAAAGAACAATTGCAAGACTTATTTGACAAAGGGTTTATCCGACCAAATACTTCACCATGGAGTGCATCTGTATTATTTGTGAAAAAGAAGGATGAAACCTTGCACTTGTGTATTGATTACCATGAACTGAACAAGGTAACGATAAAGAATAAATACCCTTTACCCCGTGTTGATGACTTGTTTAATCAGTTGAGGGGATCACAAGTATTTTCCAAAATTGATTTGAGATCCGGGTATCACCAGTTGAAGGTAAAAGCAGAAGATGTTGAGAAAACTACATTCCGGACAAGGTATGGTCACTATGAATTTCTTATTATGCCATTTAGAGTGACTAATGCCCCTGTAGCACTTATGGATCTGATGAATCCAATTTTTAAGACTTACCGTGATGATTTTGTTGTGGTTTTTATTGATGATATCTTGATATATTCAAAAAGTAGACTTGAACATGAACACCAGTTAAAAACTGTCTTGAAAACACTTAGAAAAAAGAAATTATTTGCTAAACTAAAGAAGTGTGAGTTTTGGCTGGATGAGGTTGTTTTCTTAGGGCATGTTATCAACAAATAAGGGATTTTAGTAGACCCGTAGAAGATAGAGGCAATTGTGAACTGGCCTACTCCAACAAATGAAACAGAAGTCCACAGTTTCATGGGTTTGGCCGGGTACTACAGACGATTTGTGAAAGATTTTTCAAAAATAGCTGTACCACTTATTCAACTCACATGCAAAGGACAACCGTTTAAATAGACTGATGAAAGGGAGGTTGCCTTTCAAGCATTGAAGATGAGACTAACCACTATACCAGTTTTGACATTACGCTCAGGTATGGAAAACTTTGTGATATATAGTGATGCTTCTTACAAAGGTTTGGGTTGTGTACTAATGCAGAATGGAAGTGTGATTGCTTATGCCTCCTGACAATTGAGACTGTATGAAAAGAACTACCCAACACATGATTTGGAGTTAGCCGTAGTTGTGTTTGCTTTGAAAATTTAGCGACATTACATGTATGGGGCAAGATGTGAAGTTTACATGGATCACAAAAGCTTAACATATTTCTTTACTCAAAAAGAGCTAAATATGCGACAGAGAAGATGACTTGAGTTGATAAAGGATTATGACCTTCAGATTCAATACCATCCAAGAAAGGCCAATACAGTTGCTGACGCATTGAGCAGAAAATCAATAGGGAACTTAGCCTGCTTACTCACAGAACAAAGAGAAATCTTATAAGATTTTGAGAAAGCCAAGATTGAAGTCGTGTTACATGAGCAAGTTGGGTTGATAGCCGCCATTTCAGCTAAGCCAGCAATAGTTAATGAAGTCAAGCAGAGGCAAAAAGAAGGTGAGTTCCTCAAGGAAATAATTGGTGAGTTTAAAACAAATCCAAAACCAGAATTAAGCATTGATAATGAAGTGTTGAGATTTCAAAATCGATTATGTGTCCCAAACATTCCTGAACTAAAGAAGAGAATCCTAGATGAAGCTCACAAGTCGATGTTTGCTATGCATCCGGTTAATAACAAAATGTATTAGGACTTGAAGCAAAGCTATTGGTGGCCCAAAATGAAGAAGGGGATCGCAGAGTATGTGTCCAAGTGTTTTCAATGTCAGTAAGTTAAAGCTGAACATCAGAAACCAGGTGGTCTACTTCAATATCTCCCTATTCCGGAATGAAAGTGGGAGTATGTGACCATGGACTTTGTTGTTGGCCTACCTCAAACTCCTAGAGGTATGGATTCTATTTGGGTTATAGTTGATAGACTAACCAAATCTGCACAATTTCTACCTGTGAATACTATTTTTGATGCTTATAGATTAGCCACTATATATGTTGATGAGATTGTTCGTTTACATGGAGCTCCGGAATCTATTGTATTGGATAGAGATCCGAAATTTGTATCTAGATTGTGGAAAAGCCTGCAAAGAACAATGGAAACAGAATTGAGATTCAGTACCGCGTTCCATCCACAAACAGACGGGTAATCAGAACGGACCATACAGACTTTGGAAGACATGCTCATAATGTGTGCTTTAGATTTTCAAGGGAGCTGGGAGGACTATTTGCCACTAGCAGAATTTGCATACAATAACAGTTTTCACTCCAGCGTCGATATGGCACCATATGAAGCTTTATATGGTAGGAAGTGTAGATCGCCAATTTGTTGGACAGAAATCGGGGATAGAGCTTTACTTGGGCCCGAAATTATGCAAGACACTTATGAGAATATTAAAATCATCCAACAAAGGCTCAAGACAGCACAAAGCCGACAAAAGAACTATACGGATGTTCGGAGAAGGCCTCTTGAGTATGAAGTTGGCGACCATGTATTTATTTATGTGATTCCAATGAAGGGCCAGTTGACATTTGGTAAGAAAGGTAAATTGTCACCCCGTTACATTAAGCCGTTTCAAATTTTGGAAAAACTTGGTCAAGTTGCTTATAGGGTTGCCTTGCCACCAGGATTCGAACAAATGCACAATGTGTTTCATGTATCGATGTTGAGGGGTTATCTCTGAGATCAATTTCATGTGATTGACTGCCACTGGATGGCACTTGATGAGAATATGGAATACGAAGAATGGCCAGAATGGATCATTGACCAGCAAGTAAAGCAATTGAGAAACAAGTCCATCCCAATGGTGAAAGTAGAATGCAAAGAACACTATGGGAAGATCACTACATGGGAAAATGAGGATGAAATGCGGCTACTCTATCCACATTTGTTTCTAGAAGGAGGTAAAATAAGTTTGAAGGACCAAACTTCTTAAAGGGGGAAGATTGTGATAACCCTATTTTGTGTTATGTTAATTAATCATAATTGTGAGTGTGATTATATGCCTGATATGATTTTGAGTGTCAATTATATGATTATATGTGTTTTGAATTTCTATCTGTTCACCGTAGGAAAATCTTTTTAATTTTCTGCTACAAGATTAAATTGAAGGTCGTAGAGGTGACATAAACTAAAATTGACTGTATTTTTGCGATTAGCATGATTTTTAGAGTTTATGGTGAGATGTAATCAAAAATTAATTCGGATCAAAATAATTAGTTTGAGTTGATTAAAGGGCAAATTACATTAATAGTCCCTATAGTTTGGGACTCGTGTCACTTTAATCCCTGACTTTTCAATTATGACACATTTGACCATGAATTTCGCATCTTGTTTCAAATAAGAACAATTGAACATACCATTGCTTAATTTCAAGGGCAAAACCATCAATTTGATAAAATATAAACTAATTTGACAAAAATAAATGTCAAAAAAATATTTTAAAATTTTAAAAAATTATTTCTACACACCAAAGATAAAATTTTGTAAAATTGATAAAAATTAATAAAAATTACATGATTAATTTTTTAAAATTAATTTTACATGATCACCATTCAAATGCATAATAAAAATTAATTTGGTAAAAAAAAAAGTCTAAAAGATTTATCAATTTTATAAAATTTTATCTTTAGTAGGTAGAAATAATTTTAAAAAATTCAAAAATAATTTTTTAACATTTATTTTGTCAAATTAATTTATATTTTATCAAATTGACGAATTTGCCCTTGAAAAATCCAATAGTATCTTCAATTGTCCCTATTTGAAACAAGATTCAAAATTTAGGGTCAAATGTGTCACAATTGAAAAGTCAGGGACCAAAATGATACAAACTCCAAACTATAAAGACCGTTCGTGTAATTCATCCTTAATTAAGCATAATAACTTAACCATAAGCAAATTTGATTAGGCAAGCATATATAAGAGCCTATTTGCATTCATGCTCATTCTTTTTAAGCTCATTTTCATAACTTGGCTGAAAATATACTCTAGAGAGACAGACGATTGTAGAGAGAGGGAGAGAGTGCAATTGGAGATTTGAGCTCACAACTTGAAGACTTGAAGAATCAGGCTCAAAGACTAGACCAATTAGGAAGATTGAAGCTTCTAGGTGAGCAATTAAACTCTAGAGAATGAGTTAAGTTCATAAAATGAGAATTCAAAGTATATATGAAGTTAAATACGTGAATTAAGCTTAATTGGATGAATTAGAGATCATTAGATGCATGCATATAAGAATTGGCCATAATCTTGCATCTTTGGATGTGTAGCATGTTGATCATGTTGTCTTGAGGGTTGTTTGACACATGCATGTAAGAATTTCCATACATTGAAGGTTAATTTCAAGCCTTGAAGCTTGTCTATGCAAGATACAAAACATAGAATGTGTATACATAAAGTTTATGGTTTGAAATTTGTTAAATTCATGGAATTTTGAACTATGGTTGTGAGTTATCTTCAAAAATATGTTTTTGGGAGTGTGCTTGCATATTTGAGTGTATTATACATGAATTGGACCGTTGGAATTGCTTTTTGGACTTTAAACAGAATTTCAAAAATTTCAGAATTTGACTTGTCCGCTCGAGTGGAGAAAGTCTAGCTCGAGTCTGAAAATTAAGCTCCTAGAAGTTTTGCAGATATTTGCAGGGTGGCTCGAGCAGCAAACGTTGTGCTCGAGCGAACCCTGTTTTGCAAGACTCTTTGCTCGAGCGTCAGAAGTCTCACTCGAGCATAAAATTCCTGCAACCAGTACTTTTACAGAGTTTTACAGGTCGCTCGAGCGACCAAAGTTGCGTTCGAGCAGAGAGCCTTGTTTTAAAAATTTTGAAAAGTTATTTTACTTTCCGTTTTCCGTTCTCTTTCATTTCTAAGCATTTTTAGGCATGCATTGAACATTATAAATGAACTAAAGGGATAAGAAAGAGGTCTAAGAGAAATAAATAAGTAAAGAGAAGATTAAATTGTTTGTGACCCAATGTGTTATGAAATGTGTAGGGTCAAGCACGAGGGCAAATCCATCGACGGAACACTGTGAGTAATTGTAGACTCGACTTTCTTCGCGCACCCCCCTTTCGGAGAGGCGCGAATTGGTCCTACAGTTCGGACTCCCGTCATGGTTCTGAATCTAATCTCACAAAGTACAATGTGAAACTGATAAACACCAAAGAGTCCAATCTGGCAAATCATTTTGAAAATTTGATTTTAGATCAAATAATGCCAAAACTGGACTGTTTTGCCAGATTATAGAGTCATCACCTAAATATTTTATTTTTGGAAAATTTAGGAAACCCTGACTCATGCCAAAGGCCACGTGTCCGTCATCACCAAAGTCCTCGGCTCGGGAACTTGGGTACGAGAGGGGAAAGTCCTGAAATAAGCACCCCTACTCGCCCGATCAAAGGATCGGCCTCTATTAAGCATAATATGTTGTTTTATAAACCTCATGTGTTCTTATTCTGATTATTAATCTAACTTTACTATGTGACGCACACAAGCAAGTATAGACTAAATCATGAGAATTGGAACAAAACAACTCATGTTTGTTTTTGAAAATGGTTTGAAGGTACCACTCTCAAGTGGGCTAAAATGCGGATTTGCCACCCTCAAGTGGGCTTAAAACATGATTTGCCATTTCGCAAAGTAGGCTTAAAACTCACAATCATCGAATTGTTCCAATTCAAACAATAAACCCTCCATCCACAGGCACTCATGCAATTAATCACTTAAGGAAATAGCCTCATGGCAAGAATGCTATCATGACAACACTTACACTCATGCAAGCATGCTAAAGCGTAAAACTTACAGTGTATTCCGAGCCAAAACAAAAGCTAGTTAGAAATATGCATGATCCTAACTGTATTAAGATGCCTAATGCAACATATGCAAAAATGCAACTAAATAGGCTCGGCTACCTAATATGGCATACGAAGCAACTTGAACAACATGCTTTTAAACACGTATTCAAAGAAGTATTGAAATACGATACAATTTGAATGATGCGCCAAGCCCGGTGCATGCAAGACAAATGAATGATGCAAACATGCAAGCATAAGGTATGCTAATTGAAACGTGCCTAAACTAACCATCGAAAGCGGTTAAGTAAAAGGGTGAAAGACGTGAGGTTGGAAGACATGCACACACACACACACACACACACACTTATTACAACAATACGCCCTCTCGAAGGAGAGTCTGAATAATTAAGCTAAGCTACACTAAGCTAAGCGAATTATTACAAACCAACTAATTAACTATTCTAGATAATTAATTATTACAACACAATTGAATAACTAGCTATGCTAAACCAATTAAAATATTACAACACTTGAATCGAATAATTAGCTACGCTAACTAATTGAAACAATTAAATGGCCTCAAGGGCGAGGGATGCATGCATGCTCGGTTGGCTTCGTTCCGAAAATCCACTGCCTTGCCCTTGGATGCCTCTGTTTGCATTTTGCTTTGATTTCTGAACATTACACCAAATTTCAGACTGCTTCTACTCCACCTTAGGAACACTTTGAACAACTTTTCCACTGATGGCCGGTTGGCTACCATAGGTGGTTGTCGGCCATTACCACTGGCCGGTTGGCCACTGTTTGTGGCTGTCGGCCACCACTGGTGGCTGATCGGCCACCCTTTCCCTGGAATTCTCCTTTTTGCTTCGAAGCACAGCCACAAACAGCAACAATTCTGAGCTAAAACCAGCTTTGAGAGCTCAAACAAGACCTCGAAGAACCTGAGCTCCAAGGTGAAGATGTTTGGTTAAAGGTCTTAGAACAAAAGTGTAGAGAATTCCCACTTTCAAGCACAAAATAAGGAGAAAGAGAATTCTAGAGAGAGAGAGAGAGGAAAATTTTGCTCACAAAATTGTGTAACCCCTCAAATAAAGGGAGAGACCTCCCCTTATATAGAAAAATAAGCATCCCTCCATACACACGTATGGTGATGAGCATCAGTGATCAACAGCTGGCATAACTGGCAAATAAATATCTGAAAAGGGAGAAAAATGGCTGTCGGCCATCATTAGTGGCCGACTGGCCATCAATGTACCCGACCGGCCACCACTAATGGCCGACAGGCACAAACTATGGCCGATGGACACTGGGGATGGCCGATAAGCCACCCTCTCCTCCAGATTCAAAGCAAAAA